TTTCACCTGATTTTAAGAAAGAATAAAGCTTTTTAAAGCAACCATTAAATGCAGTATTAGGGAACAGAAAGAGAGAGAGAAAAAAGGGACTAACAATTGGGGTTTCTTTAATGCTGATGTGAGGAAAAGGCTCCAAAGTGCTAACGTGCACAGGCGCCAACGGCGCACCCAAGACTCCAAGCAACAACCTCAGATCGGAGCTTTTATATGTTGATGTTGAAACGGAAGGAGCGCGTGCCAGTTGACCCTTCATCCACTGAGCCCACCTACCTTCCATCCTCGAATCTCCACCGTCCGCTCCATCCGGATCGGGACCTTCTTTCAACGGTGACAAAGCCTCCGCCGGCCTCAAGCTCCCAGACCTAAAAATCAACGGCTCGGGCTGCGACACGTGGTGTCTATTGTTGCTCCTCCTGCGCCGCAGTAAGCTCGACATTGGTGAGGCACTCCTCGCTGGACTTTTAGGTCGCGACCGGCTCGGAGACAACCCCCTCACCACCGAAAAAAACCCCTGCTTTCTCTCCATTTCTACGACTCCCCCACCGAAACCAAAAACGACAGAGCTTATCGTTAAGCTTCCTTCCCGTTTATGGTCTTAAAGCGCGAGAGAGAGACACTAAAAAGAGTAAAAGAGAAGAAGAAAGATACAGAGCGAACAATGCTCACTGAAAAACAAAAAGCAGCTTCAGATACTGAGAAAAAAAAAAAACAAATTATAAAAAGAAAGAAAGAAAGGCGTTAATAAGAAGGTAATGTAATAAAATGGAAATTAATTAATAATTAATTAAATTTCTCAGGTTAGTCCCGCGAGGCAAGAAAAGTTTCCATCCCAGTTTGGTGGTTTTTTTTATTTATTTTTTTGTCGTTTTTGGAGACTGAGAAAAAAATATCCCGTGACGGAAAATGAAACGGCGAAATGCTGACGTGGACAGATATCGTGTGGGGATAATGCCGGAGTTACCAACGGTCAAATGTGGTCAAACAATGATTAAAATAAAAAAGGCTAGTGGGATTAATAATTAATAATAATCAACTGTGAGCGTGCTAAGCGTGCGGCGACTATCAACATGAGTCGTAAGTTTTGTAATTTTAAATGTGAATCTGTTCAAGGACCACCATAGATTTGACGGACCACAATCTTCACTTCTATTTATCTTTGAAATAGACAACAAATGGAAAATTTGGAACACAACCTCTTTACTATATACATATTTTTTGTTCTAATTAGATGCACCCCCGCTTCTTACTCATATCACATCGCCAATCACGGAAGCCAAACCTCTTTTTTTTTTTTTTAGTTTTGGTTTTGCTTTTATTTTCTTGTCCAAAATTGGAAATAAGAATGACTAATTTATTATTCATTTAAATATCACCCATTATTTTGTTTTTCTCATCAAGAACAATAAAACAAAAATATTAGTAGCATTTTCAAGTTGGAAGTTGGTACGCCAATGAAAGGATGACCATAGCCAGTAATTAAAGATTATGCTGCTGTTTAATTTAGACTCATAGCCAATCAATTCCATTGAGATTTGTAGCCAATACTTTAATTTTTTTTAAATGAATTAAATAAACAAAGATAAAAAATTAAAAAATAAATTAAATTTTAGACAATATATTTAAATTTTTTCAAATTCACAATCTTTAAAAATATATACAATATATATATATATCATATGAATTAATACTGGATTGTAATCACATAATAAGCATACTTATAGAGAAAATCAAATAGAATCATGTTATGGTAAATTCTCAGTTTACCCGATAGTATTCTTTAAGGGTGAATAAAAGTCAGTTTGAATCGATTAAATCAATCGAAGTCGAGTGAATTTGGTTGAATCGATTCGGTTTATTAGGTTTTAGTTATAATCGATTTTTTAAATCGTTTAAATTAGTTAATTCGATCGGTTTTCGATTTTTAAAATTGATAAGCGTATTAACCGAATTAATCGATTTTTTAATAATTAAAAATAAAAAAATTTGAGATAAATATTTTTATTTATTTTTGGTAAAATATTATTGAAATTATTAAATTTTTTAGTAATTTAGTTTGAATGATACTAAAATTTGAATTTTATTAAATTAAATTTATGATTAAATAATTATTAATAATGAGAAGAAAAACGATAAAAAAAATCGATTATTTAATCGAGTCATCGAACCGAATTGATTTTGATCGATTCGATTATTTATTAAATAAAAATCAATTAAATCGATTATTAAATTTTTTAAATCAAATCGATCGAACCAATCATTTATTCACCCTTAATATTCTCAGCATTATCAAATCCTGCATTTAAATTCAAACATCTGGCATTAATGATACTTTCAATGAGCTCTAAAATCTATAAAAAAATGTTTTGGCCTTTAGGCGTTGGACAAATAGAACAGGGACATGAAAATCAATTGAACAAGTACTTGGCAAGAGAGGTTTATTAATTAAAAAGAAGATTCATGTTCATATACTTCATCAATTCGTTTAAGTAACATGTTATTGTCATTAGGATTTTTTTTCAAGTACAGTCTATTTTTTGCAAGCAAGTAAACGTGACTTTGGTTGATAAACTAGAAACGACATTCGGACAAAGATCTTTTGGGTTAAAGACAACATTGGAAGACGAATCAAACAACCCATCTTTTTCTTTCCCAGTTCGCCCTTTATTCTGTCTTGCTTACAATGATTAATTGCTGCGTGAGTTTCGCTGGATTAGTTCGGAACTAGACCCAACGACTTTAACTAGGATGGATGGATATATAACTAGCAACCAAAGTCAAAAAAGACAGGATAAGCCTTTAAAAAATTTTAACAAAAATCTTATAAAATAATTTTTATATTTTATTTCTATTAATAGAAAATAAATATATACTTCGTCTACTGAGTTTGGCATCTGGTAAGCGAAAACGTTCCAATGTCTAACTTAAATAAAATAATCCATGAGTTCCTGATTCTCTGCCAACAAAGTTGAATTTTTTTCTGAATAATATCTCAGTTTGCCAATCATAGACTGGTTTTGGTCAGCATGATCATCATCTCTGAAACAAGGCAGGCAACAAAGCTTCAAGAAAAACAATGCTTCGGGCTGCCACCTATGTCATTGGGGTCTGGGACCGGTTGTTAACCTTTAGTCATCATTGGTTCATGGACCCTTGTTGGAAAACATGCCCCTACCTATTAATCTGGCATTATCAACGAGCTCAATACAGAAATAGAGACCTTGGTTTTGATTTTTGAATGATGCCAACTAAAAGTAGGAAAAGTTAAGACTAGAATCTGACTTTGGATAACCTTAAAGACTAAACAAAACCTAATTTTAGTTGTCCTTTCAACCTCTGATTTAAATTGATCTCCCTCACCTCCTTTTCAAAGATGACATTTCACGTCAGGTTGGTGTCTCCTTCGTTCCCTGTGTTAGCACAAACGAAACATTTTGAGCGGAAAAGAGTTGGGAGTTGGACTTGGAACCAAAGTTTTTGAGTTGGATCTCAACCAAAACAAAGTTTGCCATTTAAAACTAGCCCAATTTCTAGCCCTAATATTTTGAAGTTGGATACATTCGGGCTTGATTGAATTCTTGAGATACATAAATGAATGAGCATGGGCTAGAAAGGTTTGGATCATTGTCTCCGGAAACCTGACAGCCCCAACAATGCTAGAAATTAACTTCCCTTGTAATATACTTCATATGGGATCCGTTCAAAGTTTCATGGACCACCATCAGTTTCAATTTCCATGGAAGGTGGATCATTCATTTAACATGAAGCTGTAAAAGAACACCTTCTTTAGCCTTACAGCTATCAATTCACTTGTTGGGGCGTGTTAAGGTAGGGATTTCCTTTTACATGTTATAACTGCTAACCACGCAAAAGTATTCCACAAAATTTTAGCTCGTTTTTTGCTCTTTGTATGACAGTTGCTCTATTTCTGGTTCCAATACAATGATGTTATTGTTAGGTTAATTTAACATCTACTGATTCAGATTTCAGACATCTCAGACAAGTTATAACTATATATATGTATATAGTTATAACCTGGTGATTAGCTGCTAGCGTAGGTTGGTTGCAGACTAATGGAAGGGGACCCCGTTGGAAGCCATTCAAGAAAAAAGGCTACCTCATGTCAATATGGGGGCAAATAATCAAACAAATGAAAGAACTAAAAGCTGAATATGAGTCACCTCTTATACATACTTCGAACCTTTTATCCTAGCCACAACTGAGATAAGACAGGCTGATTTCATCTCTTTAATTCCAATTAAGTTTCCGAATGCCCATTTCTCAGCCATGTAATGCGTTCAATTCAATGCTTCTGATCGAAATTAAGGTTCACTGTCATAATTTGAGTCATTGAATGAATCAATACACATCGCATGTACGATATGCCAATCTCAATCTCATGGAACATTATTATTTTGGACGTGTCCTCCCCAGTTGCCAAATCTTTTTTGTAGAACATGCAACGTAAAAGTCTTTAAATATTGGCCTATTTTATTTGGCATATGCTTCCCAATGAATCCAAACAGATCACATGACACAGCACGCTTTAGGTGGCAAAGTACAGGGCCGACCATTGACCAATATTCCTCTTTCGTAGCATTCATGGCAACTGATATACTGCATGATAGCTTTCTCTATTTTTCTTTCTTTCTTTCTCTTCTCTCTCTACCTTCCAGAGTCTTCTGCCGACCCCCAAAAGGTAAATTGTAAGAAAAAGAAAGAATAGGGAATGAACATTCATTGCGTAATCTTAAAGGCATCAGTGCATTGTAACCAAGAAACTGGCTAGGAAAGGTGCTTTCACTGCCCATTGGATATATATATATATATATATATATTTCAAATTAAGGATCGTAATATATTTTACTTCAACAAATCATCCGAAGATTTATCCTATATATGGCAAATGCTGTCAGCCACATTTCTAAGAGGCTTTTCCACTATATAAATTAAGTTATTTACATGACATGAAACTATATAAAATTAAGGTTTAAGACTTGCTTACTTTGAACTAAAATTGGCTTTAAATATTCTATTACATCACAAACTTTTAAGTTGGTTTGTATTTTGCATCGAGATTGCCTTCCCTAGTTGGTAGTAGATGGCAAAAAGTAGAATGGCAAAAGAAGGAAAGGGAAGTTGAAGCTTCAAGTAACATTCCATGCAAAGGCAAATTTAAGCTTCACGAAATATTGGCTTTAATATAATCAACCCAGTAACTTTTCATATCATTAATGTTTTCCAAGAAGGTCGAATAAAAGAATGCCACGAAATCAAAATAAGTCCAAACAAATTGGAAAGAGTTGCTTTAAAGCCATAAATACATTCAAATATGCAATAAGATTGGTACTTGATGTTCCTTAACAATATAGTCCTGTTACTGGAGAGGCATTGTAGCTAAAGCCATAAACCTATACGAGATGTCACCCTCCTCCAAACCCAAAGCATATCCCCCCTGACAGTCTGTAATTTGCTGTTGATCGATGTTATTTATTTTTCATAGGAAACGATTTCCTTGCTTTTTACCTACCCCTGCTTGAGCTAGCAGCTCCTCGCTATATAAATAAGCCAGCCCCACCGGGCTCGTTCTATTGCCAACTGGAAATTCTTGGGTTTTTTGGGCTTATTGTTACTGTAAACAAAATTTTGTTTGGGGAAAGAAAATGAAGCTTGTCTTGGTGACTTTCCTGCTTGTTTCTCTTGTTCTCAGCTCCTCCTTCTTTGAGGTGTCAATGGCCGGTTCTGGTATATATGAAAAATAGAGCTATGAACAAACTAAAAATTGTCAATCTTTGGTTGGTTTTATCTATTGTAAGCAAATGATGAGTTTGTGTTTTCATCTATGGCAGGTTTCTGTAACTCCAAGTGTAAGGTGAGGTGCTCAAAGGCAGGGGAAAAAGACAGGTGCTTGAAGTACTGTGGAATTTGCTGTAAGAAATGCAACTGTGTTCCATCCGGGACATATGGGAACAAGTATGAATGCCCTTGCTACAGGGACATGAAGAACTCCAAGGGCAAGCCCAAGTGCCCTTAGATTTTTCATACATGTATTTCTTTTGCATAACAATGTACGTCCGTTTGTGGAACTAAACATCAAGAGTCATGGAGGAGGTCCCATCAAAGGTTTTTTTAATTTAGTATATATTATTAAATGAATAAATAGGATCCTCCCATGGTTTATGTATATGTTGCCTCATTTGAATAATTTCCATGTACTCTGGTAATTATCTAAAGTGATTAAATTGATGATCGATCTTTGAACTTGAAAAGCTAATAAAGACTTGATCATGGCAGCTGGCTTGTACTTCACAATGATGTACAAGTTCAAGATCTTCAGTTAAGTTTGTGCCATTGGGAGATACTTGTTCAACATAGTTTTAGGCTCGAGGTTGACTGTTTGTAATATTATTTTTCTAAGCAGAATTTTGTGCAACGTAGGATGTAACAAACCAGTTTTGTTTTGTCCCCGGCGATGTGTTCGCCCTTTCGCCCTTTTCGTTTCGATTGCCGTTTGATTCATGCCACCTGCATCAATCCGTTACAATTTGCCAGAAAAAGGTTTGAACATCCTCAAGTCCCGACGTCTCTTTCACTAGTGCTCATAAGGAAAAAAATCGTCCTCTTTGCCAGTGCTGAGAGATGTCACAATTTGTATACACAACGGTTTGATCATGAACAGTAAAAGTGCTGGAAAAGGAGAAAAGTTAGCAGAAAATGACTCCTTTATGCTGCTAGAATTAATGTTTGCCACCTCAACGACGTATCCTTTGCTCACTTATATGCAAATTCTTGTGTAATACTAAGGTTAGTGGGCTTGTTGAGTAGTTTAACTGATAACTGGCAAAAAAAAGGCATGTAAAGGTATCAGTTCCCAGAAGTTCCAGAGCGCATTAGGAGTTTCTGCCTTCTGGGACATAAGCCTCCAACAATATACTGCAAAGTAGAATGTAAACAGCAGCCACTATATTTGTTTTGCTTGCATTTGGCAGTTTGAGATTTTCGAGTAAAATAAGTTCACGGGCAGCTAGATTCTACAACCATTAGAGAAAATATCCTTATTCCTTTACCAAGATCATCTAGGAGGCAGCTAGCCAGAGGTCGTGGGTTATTATCGATTGTAAACCATCCTCATCCTGCACTAAAGCAGCGGGTGAGGAAGGTTAGAAAATGGAAATTGCTCTAGTCCTTACCATGAATACCTCATTTAATGTGGGGTTAATGGAAGTCTGGAGTGCAATTTTCACTCCATAAAATCTCAATTATTTTCCTTTACTCTAAAATCTCCAACTTTTTCCCATCCTTCCGTTCACTTTATTCAGGGAAGTAAGCTTTAAAGGACAAAACTGTGGAAGGAAAAAGCAGCGCTGCGAGACTGCGACGTACCACATTCTACCACTTCTTCCTCTTTATTGGCCAGACCCAAAATGGAGGGATTGTTCACGGTGAGTGGGGTCTTCCTCAATGAGCAATAGGTGAGATCGCAATCAGTGCCAGAACCACAGCGTTGGCATCTTCGTCATAGTTCAGGATGTTTCAAAGCCAAGAGCTGTTGGTCTTCTTTTTTCTACGCTTGCATCATCAGAGATTGGGGTTGAATGACATCAAATTTAGGTAAATGAAATATTTTACTCGTAGCAATGCCCACCACATGAGTATTATGTACTCTAAAGAAAATAAAGAAAAAAGAGAATAATATAGATTTCCTTCCCCAAATGGGTTTTGTATTACTTGATCTTAGAGCGATTTCTTCCACATATGGACATACATGACAGTAAAAAATATGATCTATTTGCACTTGTGGTATTTTTTTTTTCTAAAAATGGAAGAAAAAAATTTTACAACAACAGGGGGATTGCTTATTTCATCACCTCGTATTGATCTGGCTTCGATGCACCATCATCATCAGTTTGAGAACTCCGAAAGCATGTATTCTGTGCAAAGTGATAAACAGTATACAAGAAAACTATGCGGCTGATTATGCCCAAATGAAAATTTAAGATTGAAGCGGCTGAAGCTCTTACTGCGAATTAGGAGCACCAACAGGCTCATAACGATTGATGGATTGTTGACTGTGTCGATGAACTAACCATATTCCAATGGCTGACAAACCAAGAACCAGAGTTGTTATAAATCCAATTACCACTGCCAGAAAGTGATGTTGCCACCACATCCTGTGAAGAGCCGGTGTTATTTCTGAAGTTAAACTAGTTCAAGAATATGGGAAAATAAATAATACATATTCATTCTAGAAAAGAATGCCCTCGGACAAACAAAAAAAAAAAAGGAAAGCTGGGGCTTTACTTCTGTAAATTCCATATGGATTCCTAGTTCTAATGTAACTGCAATGGACTCAGGTCAGGCAACTTGAATCCACACGTACATGATTCTTGATGCCCCATAAATCAGTGTCAGTGTTTACCAACCACCCATGTGTGACGCATCTATCTGAGTTCAGGTAAAAATAGCTTCATAGTAGAACAAGTCCTAAAACTGGAACCTTGACCTAGGGCAAACAGAACCTTAACTTGTAGACAAGTAATACATACTACTGCAAATATCAAGGTCCATTACAATGGTCTAAACCAAGGGGCCCTTGCTGCATCATGTGTCCCTCCCAACCCTATTAATGACAACATTCTGGGCTGCAAAAATAGCGCTTATCTGATGGCCTTTCTCCACCCTGACCATCCCACTACTACTGTATTACCAACCCACTCCATCATCATTCTAATACCAATCGCATGCTGGCATCCCAGTCCCATCCCTTTAACTGTGACCTTAATTAATGCACCAAACATATGGCACTATGTATTGCACTTTATTTGTATATTTTGATCAATTTTTAGGTTTTAAATACTTTCACGTACGTAGTTGTAAACATGTGACACTCTAAAAGCACCAAAAAGCATTTGTACCCATAAAAAAGGAAAGCAAGACCAAGATCAGAAAAAATAATAATAATAAAAAATAAAAACAATCCAATGAAGCCAAATAAGATCATTAGAACCCCATGCAGCCCATACTTAAAGCTACCACGTGCTAGTTCTATAGTGTTCAAAACAAAACTCCCTGAGAAGATTCAACTTGCATGGGGGTTAAAAAATCATACATTTTACTCACGGTCTTTGCGTGGGACTCAGAATTCCATAACTTATCTCTAGCACAATATGGCTAATAAGTAGGCAAGACTTTTGGGTTCCTTCAAGGTCCAAAATGCTCAAAAGATTTGTTCATCACAATAATAGTAGCCAATTAAATCCACACTAGTAGCGCAAAAGGAAAAATAAAAGTGGAATGCAAAGGAGAACGTACAACTTCCTTTGAGGTTCAGCATTCCAATCAACCAACTTATACTTTCCAAATCTCTCAGGAAACTGCATTCGATGATCCCTTAAGCGCAGAATTATGCTCTGCCCATAATAAATGAAAATAAGCTTCAGATCAATGCTGTAGTCAATAGATGGAAAAAATTAAGTTGAATATGCAAATATTAGTATCACAGTAGTAGTTATACCAGTGCAGTGGTATTAGAAATATAATTAGCAGATGCAGAGGGAAAAATGCCCCATCTAACAAGGTAATCATTCCCATTGGAAGTGACATTCAACAGGCGAACCTGAAAAATCAAACCAATCGCATAATTACTGATGAACCAGATAAAGGCTAATTCATAATTGTCAAACACAAAGCAATATAAAGAAATACTAGTTACACTGATGGATCGACCTACAATTCTAAAACTGCACCATGGGAGGTTATCTTTGGAATAAGACTAAGTGCATAAAGTGGTCACCATTAGCCCAATCCTCAGTACCCACAAAAAAGATTAAGAAAACCACACATAATCATAGGGCAAGCAAGATTAATTCCCAAGTTTAAGTCAAATACTAGAGATGTCCATGGCCTGACTTGAGTTAGGCTCAAGTTGAGCTTTATGCATAAAATCTGAAGCTCAGGACTAGAAAGAAATCTTTGCCTGGGCCCAGCTGGAATTTTTATCAGGCCTAGCTTTTTTGTCTAGGCCCAGCCCAACCAAAATTTGGGTGGCTAGTAGGCCTCATGGCAGGTGGACACCTCTAGCTAAATCTGCATGTTACACGTTTTGACAAAACCATGAAAATCAGGCAATGCTTCCAAATATATGACATCATTACTTGAAATCTGATTCAGATTACATTGCACCAATAACCAAACAAGATAGTTCTTCCTGAACAAGTGAACCAATAAATAAAATATTTCAAAAGCAGTCCAAACACACAACCCAAAAGGCCTAGAAAACTTAGTTAAAGTCAAGATAATTTAGCTGTACCTGTGAATTAACAACTTCCAGTTCCTGGGAAATTAATACTGCAAGCTCCTTGAAGTTGGGCTTCAAGTTGGAATTGTTTGTGCTAATTGACATATCCAATGTTATAAATCCAATATGAAAAGAACCTGAGTATCGTGTGCGGGGAGACAATATCATCAGAGAGAATTTACAGTTTTCAAGATCAATTCGTATAAATGCTTGCATAACTATCACTCAAAAATCAACAAGACTGCTAAGCTTATCATCATACTAAATGTCGAATCCATGGAAAATGAAATAAGCACATGGTTCAAACACTATGAGTCCAAAGCAATCAGCAATCCATTCTGCTAGCAGAAAATGATGGTTATAGAGTACACAAGATTATACAAAAAAGTATGTGATACGAAACTAGGCCATCTTAAGTACAATAAGGTATAAATGCATGCACATAGGCATAATTTGTGAGTATCTGAATAAAAACCAGATTATATATGAGAAATATATAATATATATACATATATATGAACCTGGAGTTCCATGTATGATGTTTATTAGGAATTATAAGACTCCTTCTAAATCTAAAAGACACTTTTATGCTTATTATGAAAAAAACCTAACTTCATAGATGATACTATCTTTGTTTGAATAACAAATTTTATCAAGATTACAAAAGTAACTGAGTCATCAGCCTCCTCACAAAAAGCAACTTCTTTTTCAAAAAATTAAATATCATCAAAAGAAAACCTTATAAAGAATACAGAGAACTCCAGTTTTAACTATCATAAAGGTGACTGAAAAAAGTAGGTGTGAGATTAACAGTTAAAGTTGATAAGCTTCTTGGAGGTCTATTATAACTATAGTGTAGTTTTCCCCAATACCAACCGGATCCTTCTTTTATGTTTTCTAATTTCCATCAATGCTCAACACCAGCAGGAGTTTCAAACCAAGTACCGCGTCTCTGTTTATATTTGTAATTTTCATCTAGCTTGCTCTTTCCTTCATGAAAAAGAACTTAACAACTAACCTATATAAAAGAAAGTATGTTTACTTAAATTGTGATCATGATACATCAATTCATGGAACAGTGCAAGGGAAGAAACCAATGAAAATGGGAAAAATATTGTAAGAAAGTAAGTAATAAGTCATGCACCTGGAAGAACATTTGGTGGCAATCCACTTGGGGCTAGTGTAGGAGGAAATTCCATGTTAGTATCCTTGCTTTGGAAGACTAAAGGAGATGGTGCAGGTGCACCAGAGAACCCAACTCTTCTCCATAGTTCAGAACAATTAGTTTTCAAAAAGCCTATCCTGTCATTACCCCGATCATAAGTGACTAGGGTGTTCTGGACAACAATTCCTGCCTCAAACAAGCAAAAGAGAAAGAGATTATTAACTCAGTCATGCAAACAAACAGAATATAATGAGTTGGACTGAAGCATATGGTCCAGATAAGTCTAAGTATACTGCAAGAACTTTGGATTTTTGGCAAACATTTTCAAAACTACATGACACGCATATGCTACACTTGCACATGCATGCACACTTGCGCATACATAGAGGGAGAGGTGCTTTGCATTTGGAAAAGGCTGCAACATACCTCCTAAAAGAGTAGTCGCTTCTGCATTTGCGAAAATTCCCAAGCAATAAGCACCACTAACCTTTGTGTGCTACAAAGCATGCCATTAACAGACAGACAGAAGAGAAATGTGTCAGATAGTAGTTTGAAAAACTAGGACAGAAAATAGATGGTGCAAGCATGTCTTATAACCGCTTAAATTAACTTTGCCACCTACCACGTACCCATTTTGGACTTCAAGCATGCAAAATTAAAAAAAGGATTAATTACCTGGAACAGGTAGTTTTCTGGAGACAGTAATAACTTCTTTCCATTGTTAAATACCATCTCAACCTCTGGGAAAATTTTTGATAGTTGGGAAACATCCCTGTATCACATTTCAGGAAAAACCGTTAAGATGGATTCAGGACAACAAATTTCAGCATTTCGTATCAAATGAAAAAGTTATCGGCAACACCTTCCAGCACCGGAAAAACAGATATCATCATAATTAGGGTCAGGACCATGGATCCTTTTGAGAAAATGAACTTCCCTTAGGATCTGCATTAAAGCAGCTAAATAACCATGAAAAACAGGTCTGAACTTTAGCATACAGTTACACAGATGCAGATATTTATGTTAATAAATATTAAATTTAAAACAATTAAAGACAATTACAAATAAACTGACAGAATAGTTTGAGTTGCAGCACGTGCAGAACAACACTGACATTAAGCATTCTCTGATGAGAGAGATTAATCATGGTTGCGGCCATATTGAACCCTTGATGCTGTGGTTGCAGCCATAATTTTCAAGATGGAGGCACAGACCAAGCAACAGTTCATGGAATACTGAATCCTATATGGCTAGACCACAGAAGTTAATCCCCAATAATCCTAGTCGTCATAAACATGTTAATTTCATAACTTAACAAATGCAAATTGCAATAAGTCAATTGATATTTCACTACTACCTTATTTTTCCTAGACAAAGTGCCATTACTGTTTTCCCAATAATAGTTATGAAAATCGACTCCATATTTGTTTAATAAGGATAATAACGTGCAGAATACAACACACTTCAAACTTCTGAAGGGAACAGGTCCTATAATTGGATTATTAAAGCAGATAGTACCAATATTTAAGATGCAGCATGTCCAAGTGCCTGGAAACTAATAAAGCAGCTTTCATAAGGAATAACTAGTTTTAACCCAGATATATTCATATGTATCTGTACTTAGCTTCCTCCATAGTTGCCTTATTATATAATACCTAATGCATAAATTTCCAACTCGCTCTTCTCAAAGTAACATTCATTACAATAAATGACAAACTGAGTAGTCATTCATCTATTGGGGCGCATGTAAATGCAACAAAGGCACATGCTTTTAAAACTCACAAACAAAACCAAAACTTTTTCTGAGCCTCAATTATCAATTCTGGCTTCTGTAAAGCAAATATTAAACATAGAATAGAAAATGATAACTAGACTATCAAACAAACTAAACTTATCATGAAACTGAAAGCTATTAGATCTTACAGCATTGCTAAATGCAACAAACGCATCTTTCTGAAAGTAAGCATATGTTGTTCCACTGTCCAAGATTGTCCCATATCTTCCATCAAAGACTCCAGCGGGTAACTTCAATCTCTTTCCAGCAACATGGATATCCTTAAGCTCAATGTTGTAGTATGGGCTGTTGACATTCAAAAACTACAGTGAATGTTTAAGAAGAACCAGATGCATTCTTAGAAACAATGCATCCACAAAAACGATACTGTAAGGTAAGTATACCTGCGGAAAGGGTCTGAATGGGAGAAAATCATATCAGGGGGAGGAGTTATTTTTCCAAGAACCATTGCACCCCCACCAACATCCATCCCACCATAACACAAAGAAAATGAATTGCTAATTACACCCTTATCAACAAGTTGATCCACAATGCTGAGCCGCCCACGACCCAAACCCATTATACCATCAGCTCTTTGGCTGTAAAGATCACCCGTTTCCATATTTTCGCAACCAAAAATGGCACGCTGAGGCACAAGTTCACTTTCATTCCCAAAAGAAACAACATCCTCCCCAAGCACCCCACTGCTGGAACTGATCTCAGCATATCGTCTATCATAAGTGCATTGTTTTTGCTTATCATCACAGTTACAACTTGGATTGCAGTTTACAGGTTGATAAGTGCTAGACAAATCTGGTTGGAACCTCGGATCCTGGATTCGGAGAAGAGATTAATATTGCTACAAAATCACCATTTCCCCTAATTAATTTCTAATTAACAGGTCTAGAAATCAAGCAATTAGACTAAGATTCAAAATGGAGCAGCCAATCATAACTCACGTTCTCATAATGGGAATAACTTAAGACTCAAAATCGCCATTTAACTCCGCTCTTTAATTTAAAATTCTATCAAGCCAATAACTCACTAATTTCAATTTGATTAAAGTTAATAATCTCAATCAATTTAAACAAAGGCATCAATTTCAAATTGATCAATTACAATTAACAAATGGGAAAGCTGAAATGTACGAATTTGATAAGTCAAAAACGAACCTGATGCTTGCCGCATTGTGCACAACTGGAGCAAGGAACATAAGTTACAGTACTTCCAGTGTCGACTATAAGAGCGAATTCTTGAGGCGGCGTTCCTATCCATAGCCGAGTCGTATAGTAGCTGCAAATTACCAAAAAAAATAAATAAATAAATTTTCTCAATATTTCAAACATTCTAAAAGAAAAAAAAATGAAACTTTTATTTAAAAGGAGAGAGACCCGTTGGAGAGAAGATCATCGTAGAGTCTCATGAGGGCGTTTGGAGTGGAACGAGAGATCTCCGATTGCTGGAGATGACGGCGGAGATTGTCCACGTGTCGGTGCAGCGAGTGATTATGTGATGATAGATGTAGAGGAAGGACCATTGGCCGTAGCTGATGATTTTCTGCACCGACAGTGGACAGATGGAATCCGATTACGGAACAGACGATTAGAAAGGAAGAGGCTAGATGAAGCCAGGTTCGAGCCATGTCGCATCACTTTGGCTCCAGATTATGGTCAACTACGATGGACCATTGCAGACGGAGGACCCGATTGAGTGCACTCCTCCTTTAAGAAGGACAAAAAAGATATTTTCCCTTTTTTGTTATTTTGACATGCTTAGTGCCGAGCCAATCACGGGAAGGCACGTCATGGGTTAGTACAGAATTTTAGTCAAAGTAAACGTTGAATCTACCGGACGACCGTTATTATCCGGTTTATAACTTAATGAATAATTAATGATCTTTGTGAAACAAAGCCATGGTCAGGGTTATGTATTTTTGTTTTACAAAAAGATTTTAGTGAAAATCCAAAGCTTAATAGCTCAATTAATTGATACAAACATTTTTATTTTAGAAGATGATATTTAATAATTGTTATGTATTTTTTTATTATATTAATTTCATTTTAAAAAATAATATAATTAATTTTTTAATCTCACAGAAAAACACTGATAGTATATCATATAATTTTTTAAATTGCATCACGATCCTGCAAAAAACGTGCCCAAAAAGCCTGCATCAGGTTGCCATTGGAAGGCCTCGTTTTAAGAATGAAAACTTTACTTATCTTTGTTGCCATTTTCATTGGTTGACATGTTCCTCAAATTGGATGTTGAACCAGCTTTATCAATATTTTTCAATATAGCCAACTAATCAAACATGAGAAAAAAAAATAATGAAAGATGGACAACATTCCAGTATAAATAAGTTATTATGCTATCTGATTCAGCGTGTTGAATATGCAAATATGCAATCATCACTCAATGAGTCATGATCGAGTTTAACTCACTTGAGTTTGCACCTTTCATCATAACATTTTCGTTACATGTTTTCCACTCCGAAAAACAGGATCGGGGAGACAGCAGAGACAGGAACGAAACATGATTTTCACAAGTGACCATTTTATAAGTGCAGTTGGTGCAACAACATGATTGCAGCTGAAATTCATAAATTAGAAGGCTGCAAGAACACTAGAATGAGAAAGTGGAGTTAAAACAACTCCAAGTAAATCAATTTTAAGGAAATGCTAAACATACAGTGTAGGACAACAAAGGCAGGAAAACCTTAACATATGGTGTATTCCCTTTTCAAATCCCCTAAAGAATGATTGTACCTCAACTTCATGTTAGCCTGTATCCAGCTGCAGAGTATCCATGGCCTGGCAACTTTCAAGATCCCAACATTGAGTGTAACATTCCTGATAAATTCATGTGACAGCCAGCAAAAACTACAAACTACAAACACCCACAATAATCCTACAGAATGACTCATCAGATCAGTTATCAACTCAGTACACAAAATCCTAATTGTATCCTTATGGATGCCTAAGACCTATTTGTAGTGAAAAGCTTTTATTAGGGTATCTCTTCATGTTATAACTTTGTAATTTATAAGTTTACATGTGTAGCGGCTTTCTCTTGTTGAACCAGGCAAGTACCCATCTTCCATAAACATGGCTGCGCATCATTGGAGAGTTTACCCGCACCAGATTCAGCAAAGCTTGGTAAACAAAACCCTGCTCATGCAAAGGAAAGGAAAATCACAACCCAAAATGAGAGGGAGCCTAATAACAATCTCCGGTAGAAGTTGCTATTAATAGTTAAGCATGTGTAAATCACTCCATGTTGTAGTAATACTGATACCGCCTATTAGAGAATCAGACCAAAGTTGTTTATAGCTGACTCAAAGAAAGAGTCATTTAGAAGAAAGTATTGAGTTCCACAAAAACAGGTCCATTTCATATAATCCAAATTACTTAGAAAATTAAATGAAAGAATTTACTCTGATAATCACACTGCCCAAACCTTTCTGGGTCCCTAAGCCACCCTTATCCAGGTGCAATAGATTAATGAAGTAGCTTAAGACATTTATATCTAGTTCTACAATACACAAACACCTTAGCAAGTGCACCAAATGACCATGAAGTTGGAAGCAGAAGAGTGTGAGAATTATCTAACCTTAGACACTGTCAAAGCTGATTGGATAACATAGTTTCCGAAAGGATCAACAAGAAGCCTTGACACGAGTGGACTTCTAAGCAACTCCATTATAATTCTTGTAGACTGATGTTCTCCTGATTCGACCAAGCACTTCTCCACAACATTGCTTCCATACCTATTGCAGGAAAGAGATGCATAATTCCCTTCAAGCTGTCTCAGAAGACTTTCTGTTATTTGTGGCTCTTTCAATCCCAGTATATGTTGCACCACATAGTTGCTAGAGAAAAAAGGACAAGACACAGGAGTATATCAAGCTCAAATAAGTTGCACTTCATTGTTTACAAATTTCTAAAATGCACATTAAGTTCCACATCAAAGCAAGGAAGTGTAGCAATAAGGGAAGACCTTTTAAATAAACACACACACACACAATAACTTTCCGGGAACTAACACATTAGGTTTCAGAGAACCACACACCCATATTGGTCTTTGGCTAGGTGTAGAGCATTTGCTATTATCTCGCGAACTAGCCGTGCCCTTGCCTCTCCCTTGGAGTGATCAACACATTGCTGCAGTGTACAGCAACCACTTTTGTTTGTTGCAATTTGATAACAGTTATCTGCCACCTCATTCAGAATATACTGCCAATAAAAATCAATGGTCACAAATTGTGTTCAACATCAACAAATGTATAAAACAAATCTTGGCCCAGTTTCAACATTGATAGAAGGAAGATAGAAAGGGACAGTTAATGCATCTATTTCATTGTGATAACGTTTTAGAAATGAAGTATCGTAGTAACCTCTCCAAATTAATTCAAATGACTGAATATATCTAAGAACCAAGACAAACAAATACAGAGCTTAACTCAAATTGTAACCAATCCAACTACTCTTAAATCTGGGATGATACCTTATTATCTTCTTCAGAGAAGTTTTGCAAGCAATACTGGATCACACGATGACCATTCATGTCCTTGGTCAATTCAACAGTGCCAGGGCTTAGAGCTGACATAACGAACGAGATTTGCTGTTGAGTAGTAAGTTTCTCCAACAATTTCTGTACAGCACGAGTCCTGCCAACAAAATGAAAAAAGTTATTGGAAACAGACGTTTTCTTAAGAAATTAAAAGAATAAACCAAGAATAAAACAGACCAAACATACCCATGAACATTGAGACAAATGTTAACAAGTCGAAAACCATCCTTAACAACCACTAAAAGAATCTGACTCTTCTGTTCCTCACTACACAAATCCAAAAATTTTTGAACAACATAATTTGCAAAAGGGTCCAACATCAACTCACCAACATGATCAATAACCTCCATGAAAATCATATCAATTTCCTCCTTTGAAGCTTTATCAATAGCCCTCTGTAAAACCCTACAACCATATTGATCTTTTGCTAAGGCCACAATCCTACCACTCAAATCCCTTGGACTCAAACTATTCAAAGTCTCCTGTAACCATTGAGGCATCCTAAAACTATTATTAGTCTGATTATTATTATTATTATTATTGCTATGATTATTAAAACTAGATCTCATTACATTCTTGCTTACGGAACAAGAAGCCCTTGAGCAACCGGCAGCAGCAGTAGCACCGGCCAAGAATCCATTTTGATTGGAAGAGGGTAATATTGAGAATTCATTGAAAAGTTCATTTCTTCTTGAATCAAGCAAATACCCATTTCCATTTAAATTGGAGGGTTGATACGAACTAGACATGAAAGCATCCCAACTATCAATATCTGGGCCAACCTTCATCATCCCATCAAAACCCACACTCAAAGCAACGTTGTTTCTCTCTTGCCCTGTTCTTGCCACCCCACCACCAACCGCATACCCGGACCCATTCAAGAATTCACCACCAACATGACCCGGATAGCCTTCTAACTCTTGATTCTTGTGAGTAGACACAGTGAGACCAGAAAAGGCTGATTCTAGGGTTCGATCAAAGAGGTTGCTTCGTATGGAAGTTTCTGCAAATACGGGTCCTTGGTTATGACAAAAAGAGAGACAACTTCTCGGTGACCGTGAAACCGGAGCCCCAAACGGTGTCGTTCCAGTGAAAGATCGGTTTCCCTGTACGGCCTCCATCAAACCAAAAAAAAAAAAACTCAAAAGAGAAGATAAAAGAAAGACAGTTTTTGAGCAGGTTTTAAAAGCAAAAATTTATAACAAAAAATACGGAGATAAAATGAAGCAAATTTTAATTAAAAAGAAATTATGTGAGACAAATTTTGTGATTTTATTGAGTAAATTTCGTTTTTTTTAGTAAAAATGGCAAGAGTCATAGATGGAGAGTGAGACGTTAGAGATATGGCTGAAGGATGTATTTTTTTTCTTTTTCATGCAACTTATGGAAACTTGTTCACTCTTTGGAGCAAAGCAAAAACTCTGTCAAAAGCTAAATTGTATTTCCGTCTATCACTCACCCTGGTCTAACAACGCTGACTTCTTGTTTTCTTCTTCTTTATGTCCTTTTCTCCTCTTTTGTAAAGTCTTCTCTTTTTTGTTTATTTTAAGGATTCTGGTCTAGGTAATGTAATTATGATTAAATTTAATATTAGTTAATTTGAATGCTTTTCATTTATTAATTTTGACTTCTTAATTTTGGATTTTTTATTTTTGTTTTCAATTACAAACAATTTAATTTAATAGACAAATTATATATATTTAACAAATTTACATCCACTTTTAATTGAAGTTTTTAAATTTTATTAGATTAATAAGATTACACATAATCATTATGGCATAGTAAAAAATAAAAAATAAAAATAATTAAAAAATAATATGTGACAATCTCTTAAAATTATTTGTATAATTAAAAATTTTTACTGTCATTATATAAAAATAAATTCTTAAATTTAATATTAAATCAATAATTTTAAATAATTGATTGATTTTCATGAAAAATGTTTAAATTACTTTTTTTAAAAAAACCCATACACCAAAGTTTGATTTTATCCTCTTTTTTTTTTTTTGGAAACACAAGTCTTATCCTTTTAAATTAAGGTATATCGGTAAACCAGTCAATTAAATACTGATGCTAATAGCATTAAATTAGATAACTTGGCATTTATTCTTCATTTCCTTGCCTTTTTTTTTTTTTTAGCTTTAAATGGAGAATATTTGTTCAAGCCCAATGTTCAAAATTTTGAGGGTAAATCTGCCAGAAAAAAAAAATAGAAATATTCATAGGTTGAAATTTTTCCAATTATTTTTCAAAAGAAAAAAACCAAACGACGTCATTTCATTTAATGAGAAAAAATGATTTGGGTCATCTTCGACCCGCATCAAATTTGGCCCAAGCTTGCTCTTAACCAGGTCCAACCCAAGTGTGTTGCCTTGCCTGTTCCATGAAATTTGCAAAATTCACTTCTTGTTGCATTGTATGGTTCCTTTTGGGAAACAAAAATGGCAGTCTGATTATAGTACATGGGAAGCTGCTATATCTAAGACTATAAAAGTAAGCAGTTTTTTCTAACTTTACTTTGAAATGGACAAGACAAAGCTTAACCTATTACAAATCGAAGCAATTTAGCCTGCAGGTTGTAAAAATGTTATCCTTACATGATTTATGACAGGAAATGTAACTCTGTGCAGTATTGGAAAGCAAGGCAGTGGATCTCAAACCAGCTGCTTTCTTTTGTTTGGATATGTATGTTGAAGCCTATTGATGACCAAAAGAATGCTTCATTTTTTTTTGAAATATTGATCAATTGCCATCATGCTATTTGGAGGCTTATGTAGACAGCTATATGATTATGAGAATTCGAAATTCCTAGCGCCGACTGCATTTTCTTGACTCTTTAACATCCGGTGACAGAAAATCTCTTGGATAGTTCTATGCTGAACCAAGTGGAAGGAAGACCAACGCCACGTGAAACAAGATAAACAATGAATGCCAAAGCGGCTGTCCAAGCACAGATAAGTAATCCAAACAGCAGTCCCTTGACTTCAGAAACAAAGAAATCCAGTGAAGGATACCCATTGATTATGATTACCAGGACGGCCACAGTCCAGGCAAGTCTCTGCAAAATAACACAACATAAACCAACAAAAAGTTAGCCATGTTTTTAATTGAAACCAACATAATCCATTTTCATTTTCCAAAACATGGAAAGCATGTTAAGATTTCACGAATTTTGCGTAAATCTGAAAGATCAATTTTAAAAGCTCTCCGTGGCTGGAAAAGACAGTATAATCAAGAATTATAACAGCAGGTTTTGAATTTTGATAACTACTTTCTTTTGTTTTTTTTAAATATAGCAACCAGCTAACTATACGCATTAAATTGCCGCATAGCTATCTCCATTGGTTCATATGCAGCTGTATTTCCAGTGGTAAACAAGGTTACAAGACAATCACTCCCACTACAGCCAAATGCTCTCCCAATGGAATTATGTGTAGGAAATTTAATGGATCCTAATGGGCTCTATGGCACTGCAGAGTGAACTTCATGCTCTGTGATAAGACCCTTAAAAAAGCATGTAATTTGAGGTGAAATCTCTTTTGACTTGAGGATTCTCTAGAAAGCCCCTCCAGAACAAAATGGTGTCTGTCTCCCCGCTAAAGTAGCCTTAATCAGTAGGACAACTAAACTTAGACACAATCTTCACAATTTTGGTACTAAAATATACTTTATAAATGAATGGAGATATAAAAGAATAACCAAAACAATAGCTATGAACATGTCAACTTGTGAAGTTCATGAGATCGAGAACCTAAGCCTTAAGGTAATTTGGGATTACCCTCCAACAAATGTCGTGATCAGTCCATTACATACTTTCTACATAGAAAAGCAAGCATACTGCATGCACTCCTATATCATCACAATTTTATTCCTTTTCACTGTATAGGCCTAAAGAGTATCACTGATGACAAAATGAGAGCAATGAGCCTACTGATGATTAAATAAATAGGGAAACATGACATATACATGGGTCCACTGAATGCAAGTTTTGCATCACTACTATCAAAATATTGATAAGATTTTGGTTTCCAGGATAGAAAACCGACTCAAGTTTCTAGTTTTTAAAAGACAAACAACTAGCAGATGAGGAGAGGCATAAAAGTAAAGCAAACTGTTATAGTGATAGTAATAGAAACTTGTGGCAGTTGGCCATGTTTCTTATCCTGTTCTCTTTGCTATCGAATTGTTTGACTCAGTATTAATTTCAAACATGATAACCGCTGATAGCTTAGCTATTATAACATGCAGGCTGCAGCAAACTACCAATAGTCACCCATGAGAAGTAATAGATACTAAATTAAAATGGAAGATAAGTGAAACAAGAAGCTAACCTCAAGAATAGGCCCAATCCTGGTGACCCCATGACCTGCTCCTTGGAGACCAAGGTTAGAAGTGGGATAAGTGCAAAAGGAATCTGTATTGACTGAAGTACATTAAGCCATTCATTCAAAATGTCCAACGAGGCTTCGGATGTGTTATATACAAGAGCTACAATAATAGTCGGTACAATTGCAAAGCTCCATGTAATCAATGCCCTCAACCACTTCTTCAGACAAAGGTTGAGAAAACCTCCCATTATTAACTGCCTAGCATATGTGCCTGTTATTGTACTATTTTGTCCTGCCGCCAGCAACCCAATACCCCATATGTAGAGAATCGGAAAGACTCCTCCACTATACTTCTCCTCAAGATACTGCCCTGCGTTAACTAGTCCTATGTGATTTGCTTGTTTTGTATCCTAGAATCCCTTGGCAAAGACGGTTGCCACAAACAAATTGATCATGAAGGAAACCAGAAGCGCAACAGCTGACTCAATTGAATAGTAGTTTATTGCCTCTTGAACCCGGCCTCTCCTTTTGGGATCAATCTTTCTTGATTGTACCAAAGCAGAATGTAAGAATACGTTATGAGGCATTATGACAAACCCACAACCCCCACAGCTTGCCGAATCGTTTTTGAGCTAATTCTAGGAACCAACATACCTACAACAATAGCAAAAATTTTAAAAACGATACCCATAAAATGAAATATTCACTTCATACCAAACAAATTTACACAATAAACGAAAAATAAATAGCTTGAAAGTATAAACTTGTTTGCTGGAATGGGTTGAAAGAGTGAAAGTATTAAGATAATAAGATTAAGTTAAAAAGATAAAATTGTAATTTTGTTATTTAAACGAATATAAATAAATTTTAAACAAACATAAATAAAATTTAAATAAACTGATCGTTAGATGATGCTTAAATAAATTTATTCATGAATATAAATAAATTAAATAAATTTATATTTATATTCAATTCATTTAATAAATAAATATAAAAAATATTATTTAAAATAATTTGTTAAGTTAAATTAAAAAACAAGAAAACTCTATTTATTTTTACCCTTAAGTATCACTTTCTGCAAAACCGAACAAGAAACCTCATGAAATAGGCATTACAAAACTTTTCATTTGATTTTCTATGGGGATGGAGAGATTAAAGCCGGAGGTCCGAGTCGATCTTGAGCAACTCTTGTGGTGGTTTAGATGGTTGGGAATCCACATGATAACTTCCTGGCCACGTCAAAGTTGTTTCTCTGTCAATTGATCCTGTCCATGCCCTCACAATCTCTTTGGTGGTGTCATTGAATCTTACAACCACAGGTCTCCATTCTGTTCGCGCACAAGTGAATGGGGCTCAACACCAAGTGACCGGAACATTGGCTTATTTACAGGCAAACCAATCATCGCCATCAGCCTCTTGGACTGGGATCGTCTAACTACTCCCCACGCCCTTTTGTGGGCGTTCTGGTGGCCACCAAGTGCTTGTGAATTACAGAACTTTCTTCTGCAGAAGTTGCAGGAGAAAATCTTGTTGGGAGCATATGTTGATTGGAAGCCACTTTTTGAACCAACAATATCCCCATGCCTGCCAAGACTCAAGTTCAGCCACTCCGTTGAGTTGCCTTCATGGTAGCCCTCATCGTGTCTTTCATTAATCTGATTATTAACTCCTTCGATTTGGAAAGTCATCTTCACCAAGACACCGAAAACCTTGAAGGTTTTAAAAGCTTTCTAAGATTAGATATACCGTAGGATCAAAGAGGAACAAATAACGAGATGTATCGAGATGTCCAA